GTGCAGGAATACTTTCCCCCCCTTTTTCACATCATGTCGCTTGTTTGGATCTGTTATTATCTCGCTCTGAAGCACAGAGGAGTGTCAGAGGTGAGCTCGTTTCAACTGCTTTTTACGACGCGGTCTCATTTCCGGACTGAATGAAACTGATATTTCAGTTAAAATACATAAGTAAAATTATTTATCCGAGTACAGTACTAACCCCCAACTTTATGGATGATTTTATGGATTTCATTTTACGTATTATACTTGAATAAATACAGTAAATATTTTTTGCACGTAAACAAAACATTTATTAGACATGACTTGTGTAAAACCATTGATTCACATCATAAAATATATAAATTATTGTGTTTTGGGTGGAGTATTACTTATACACAGACTTTATAAATAACTATTAATGATGATAATGCTGTATCTCAGGAATCCTCTGTGTTAAAACCAAATCTTCCTGCAGGGCATGTGACCATGAACTGAAAATAAAAACCGCTGTAGCAAATGAAACAGGATTTTCACAAGCATTACATAACTTGGCTTCTTTTTTTTCATCATTAAAAACTGCCGGACGAGCGTTTCTGTCTGCCCACCAGCCGTCCTGTACGTGAACAGGGCTGTTTTTAGAGCCGTTCACTCTTCCATCTGTCTGTCTGGCAGAGCGATTAGGTAATGCCTGAGTCACAAACCCAACCAGTCAGCATGTTTGGCTCATTCACTGAGTGTGACACTTTTCTAACGACACGTGGCTCAAACTAAATCAAGTATGAAATTATCAAAGCTAAAAGTAGAGATTAATCAGGACTAATTAAGGCTGGCTCTGTGTTATTTTAAAAATAAATTTAAAAAAAACTACCAGCAGTGGCAACGGCTGCAGGAAACCTTAAGCATGCACGCACAGCAGACTTCCTGGTAGTTTCTCTGAAGCAGTGCCACAGTGCATGAGAAGCTGCAGTGAACTGTGATGTTCTGCAGATCAACTGCAGCAACGACACAAAAACAACAAAAAGCAATCCCAGCGCCACCTTCAGCTTCAAGTGTACGGCTTCGAGCTTTTATTCTGAAAAGCAGGTTTGTGTGGCTACTGCTGTCTGAACGCAGCAGATTTGATTTTAAATGGTCCAGGAATGAATCTGAAACAGCTGGGAGGTTTCAAACTTCTTCTTTTCATATTAATGAAGCTCCGGAGACTTTATAACCTCTGCACCGTCCTCCTGCTTCCGTCAAAGAGGGATAAAGAATCATGAAATGATTGAAAATATTATTGTTTTACAGAAAAGAGCTGTATGAATTATTGCTAGAAAACACTACAGTCACCCATCAAATATATTATTTTATCAGTTGAAATTATTGAAGTTCTTTGAGTTGGTTGATTATAGTATTTTACAGGTTTTATAAGGCTCATAAATGTATATTATCTTTAAATATCCAATTGAATTTTGTTAAGAGAGAAAGTTGTTATAATCTGAAAGGGGTGGAGATGTTTGTGAAACCTGGATTTAGAACTAGTTTGAGGGAGCGATGTACTTCGGTACAAGTAATAAGATTATGGAATAATCTGGAGAGTGATGTCAAAAATGCCAGAACAATGTTTAAGTTTAAGAGAATGATAAAAGTCACTTTGTTAAAGAAATACGAAACATTATAATGTGTATTCATACGAAATGATGTTCAGTGAGGATCTGAGGTTGTTCCTGTTTTTTTTTTTATTGTTTAAATTTATTTTTTGAGTCAAAAATGCCAGATCAATGTTTAAGAGAATGAT